AAAAAATGTCATAACAACGAAATAAAATGATGTGGTAGAGCCATGCTTCAGCTATATTTGTATGGTTGTAGCACGAATGGGTCGGCTCGACCGGGGAAGGGACTCACACTCACAGAATACCAGCGTAAAGTAGCAGTTAAATGCCGCTGTATCGTATAGTGAGTCTAGGGAACCGGAGACCGGAAACGAGACATTCAATCTTAGTCCTCAGGAGTGACAACTGCATTTTGTTTTTTAATTGAGGATAGACGGAGATGTTTAAGTGCCACAGCATCCACTTACCGTCAGGTGGACGATGTGCTGGTTTGTCACTCATTTCTATAAAAAATTGTATATCTAAAAACATTATTAATAAGAATATAAGAATTAGAAATTGGTTGACCAGCCTTCGGGAGGCTAGGTCACATCTAGTCACCTCTCGTATACCTCAAAACTTGTAAAGAAGAGTGTACAACCAGAACCAGTGCGTTGCTAGCCATGACATATGAATTTGGGATGTGGTCTTTCACTGCTGGCCGTATGTAGAAGCTCAAAGGCTGCTTTAGAGGGCTGTGCTTGGAGTTTCTCTCCCCTAGTCCTAGGTCCCCTCCCCTAGGTCCCTAACTAGAGGAGTGACAACCTGATAAGGGATGTAGGAAGTCAATAGATGGAGGTGGCTCAGAACTGTGTTTTGTGGCATTCATGGAGGAAGGCCTATGTGAACTGCTGAAGCAGGGGGCTTGTGATTGCATCAAAGAGTAGATTTATACAATCGTCGTCGAAAACAAAAGGATGCCTGCGTCTTTCTGTTGTCTTAATAATAACGTAATAGACGTTTGATTTCTCTGTGTGCTACTGTTGATAAACCCTGTTTGTGTGTGTACCATGCGAGATGCTTGTTTGAACACTGTGTTAATACGTAGGAAGTATTTGCTCACTAAGTAGTTACGTTATCTAGTTAGATAACATAACTACGTAAAATAATATAACACTGGTTGGCTCTTTCGACACATGGAGGCGAGAGATAACGCTAACGATTTGCGCCACTTGGTAAAATTCATTGCTTCATTTATGACAGTCCATCGAGAATCTCTTCTAAGGATGGGCATTTTATTTATAGAATGGGCCCCCGTGTCTTTTTTGGTTTTTTTCTTTTTGGGTTGTTTAACTGTCACACACAAGCACACAGTCCACCCAATGGTAAGTTCATGATGTGGCCCATCGACATCTTCATTTATCCTTGATTAAGAATCTAAATGCAGATGCGTTATCACCTATGAGGACTAATATGAAATGCCTCTTTTCCAGATAAAACAATTTCCTGTTCTCAACACTCACCATACGTAACAGTTTGCGCTGGTATTCTGTGAAAGCGCAGTCCTACCCCAACCATAATATAGTTGCAGTGTGGCTCCAACACGTTAAAAATCCCTCCCTCATGAATCATTATTTACTCTTGAAATATCCTCTCCCATAGATTGCCTGACTTGACAGTCCCTAGAGAGTGACTCCTGCAGCAAATAAGTGTATAAAACATTGAAGTAATATGTACTTACGTACTAGAACAGCTATCTCAAACAAAAAATGTACGCTACTCTGTGTTCGTGCGGTTGGTTTTTTTATCATAGAATAATCATAGGTAGAATGATCCACAGGTAATAGTAGATTATATTGTTAAATAGGTAAATTATAACGGGAACAATATTTAAATTTTGTCATTTATTTTGTATATTATATTTGCTTATTTCATATGATATTACATAATATTATGTAATATCATATTAAATTTTTTAATGATATTTTTATCTGAATATTTTAAAAGGTCAAATATAAAAAATATACTAAATATATGTTTAACAAAACTTATTAACATAACATTTAAATTACAAATATATTTATTTAAATTAGAATAAGAGTCTTTCATAAATGCTGGGCACGCGAGAATTAATAATGGACGAATTTATTCCACTTTGACTTTGATGTAGAAACCCAAAAATAAAATAAAAGAATAATAAGCAGATATAAACATGAAAAATAAGCCTAATTATAATAATTTATATGTTTCTACAAAAAAAAATGTGTATAATAATATAATCGTCCTATACATTAGTACCCACAAAAATGTCGCATCTGAACATATTAATTTCATAATCTATATTCCATGACACGTAATGGCGTCTTAGGAATAATTTGTTTTATTATTAATCTATTAATACTTTTTATTGATTAAGTATCTTATTAACCGATGGAAAGTAATTTCTTGATTTTTACTGACATTTCTTGAATTATTTGTGCAATATCTAAGTACAGACGACGGCATATTTTATCAAGAGATTTTTTTAAATCAACACAACACGTGACACGACTCTACAAGCGTCTAGCGAGTGACTGATTAAAGTGCGGTGTATGCACCGCAATTGAGTGGAACATAGTAGCTGAATGCAGTGTCGCCTCTAGTACGTAGTACATAATAGCTCAATGGTATAAAAGCACAATAGTGCTTTGTACACTAAGATGAAATTCGTCACAGCCTGCAACTACCTATACTATATATATAATTTTTAACAATAATCAAATATTAAAAAATAAGCGCCTAAGAAAAAAAAAGTAGCAATAAGTTAGTTGAATTTTAATGTATCTACTTTTGTTCAGGTGTTTGACCTAACATCAATTTAAATAATTTTGAAGAGAATCGGGGTGTCGAAAAAACAAAAATCCACCTGATAGTAAGTAGCCGTTGTGGCCCATAAAAACCTATTTTTTTCATTGATTAGGATTAGAAACCAAAATTCAGAGGCGAACAAAGGCCTCCTCCAAGGAATGCCACAAAGTTTGATTCTGAGCCACCTGCATCCTTTGTCTTCCTGCATATCTCACCAGGTCATCACTTTATCTAGTAAGGGTCGGCCTACACTTCACTTACCCGTCCAAGGTTGCCACTCGATAGCCTTTCTTCCCCATAAAATGGATAAATAGCAAAAGTAAAATACAATGTATTTAAGAAAAGACAAATCATAATCATCAGTCCGTAAAAATGTATTGTTAAACTTGGATCTTTCTTCTTTTAATTTTACATTCATGACGGAATAAATTCTTTCCGTAAAACTTAATTATTCCAGATTTCCAGTCACGGTTAATATAAAAAAGCGCCGCCAGTTGATAAGATGATAATATTTTTCGTACTATATTTGATTTCTTTAATGTATAGTACAAATGGTCTAGGAGTACATTTGACCAAAATATACTACGATACTATATTACCTAGGTGGATTGAAAAGTACTCGGCCTAACACAGATCCATTCAATTCTAAAAATCAAATCTACCCACATTATTTAGTTCAGTTCAGACTAGTTCATTGTGTGAATTTCGAAACGTGTGCGATAATTAGTTGTGATTTTATAAATATATTAACAAAGTAATCGGACATAATTTCCGCGAATGGAGCAAATCGAGCAGCGTGCCGTCATTAAGTACCTCCATAAGAAGGGGCTATCATCAAAAGCCATCCATGATAACATGGTCAGTACATTAGGCGATTGTGCTCTGTCATATTCATCCGTCAAAAAATGGATAGCAGAATTTAAGCGTGGTAGAGAGAGTGTGAAAGATGAACCCCGCTCTGGAAGGCCTTCGACGTCAACTACTGACGAAAATATTAAAAAAGTACTTGATTTAATAATGGGAGACCGCAGATTAAAAATTAGAGAGATAGCCGAGATTATAGGCATCTCTTATGAACGAACTCAAAACATCATTGTCAACGAGTTGGGTTTCCACAAGGTGTCTGCGAGGTGGGTTCCGCGACTGCTTTCAGTTGAACAAAAAAGGACGCGATTGACTATTTCACGCGACTGTTTGGAGTTATTTGAAGCCGATGCAGATGATTTTTTGAATAGTTTTGTTACTATGGACGAAACATGGGTTCATTACTGTACACCGGAAACAAAACAACAATCAAAACAGTGGAGAAGACCTGGTTCACCACCCCCTAAAAAAGGCTAAGTCGATTTTGTCGGCAAATAAGGTGATGGCTTCAGTATTCTGGGACTCGAAAGGTGTGATTATGATTGATTATCTTGAAAGGGGTCAGAATATAAACTCTGATTACTACTGCACCTTACTACGTCGTTTACGAGAGGAAATAAAAGAAAAACGTCGAAGAATGCTCAGAAGAAAAGTCCTGTTTCATCAAGATAACGCCCGTGTTCACACGTCAGTACAGTCAATGGCTGAAATTCACAACTGTGGCTTTGAACTGTTACCGCATGCGCCGTATTCACCTGATCTGGCACCATCAGACTTCTTTCTGTTCCCTAACCTAAAAAAGCACTTGGGAGGTCAAAGATTTTCGACAAACGACGAGGTCAAAGCAGCTGTAGACGCATATTTTGACTCTAAGGAAGAATCATTTTTTTTCAGCGGTCTAAATGCTTGGAAGGGGAGGTGGCAAAACTGTATTGAACTTGATGGTGATTATGTAAAGAAATAAAAATATAACTGATTTAGTATGTGTTTATTTTCTTGGTTAGGCCGAGTACTTTTCAATCCACCCTCGTATATAATAGTATAAGTAGCAACCCCAACTAGATGTCTCGCATTTTTGACGCTGCTGTTCGTTAGACATGTTGTGTCAATCATTCATTTGTAGCAACCGAATCATTCTATAGAAGTGAATCATGGTTTGTACCAAAGCCTGAATGCACCATAGCTTCATGTTACTCAATGACTTTCCTTGCACTTTCAAAGGATTTGCTTTACACATAACTTGTGTGTCTCTATTGCTTAGTCACAACACTGTAGGGTGTTAACCGCAAACTCGGAAATTCACGGTACTGAATCCACTATTGTACTTCTCTATGGCTCTGTGACAAAAAAAATTAACTTACTTGGCCACTCGGAAATATTAGTGATGTTAATAACTTTACTAGTATTCTTTTAAATTAAAAATGAAAAAAAAAACAGCGAACCTCAAAAGATTTTAATTAAAAAAATAGCTGTTTCTAAAATATTTATTTTGGTTTCAAACATTTACTCCATTTTCCACATAACGTTGAGGATCGGTTACATGGTTCACAAATGCAAGCTGAGTGTTATTTTCTAGCTTCAGAATCTCACTTCGGATCATTGACAGAAGATATAAATTAAATACTGTAAGATAATATAATAGTTAATTTTATACACATTAACTTAACTAACAAGTTAGAGGACAGGCTTGTGGCGATTTAGGATTACAATACACTTACAATAAGGACATCTACATCTTTCTCTGCCACACCAGAGCACTGCCACTTTAGAATAACAAATATTTAACAGATTTAATGTAGGCGAAAGGTTCTGAAGTATTCGTTAGGTATATTTTATATAAATTAGACTAAAAAGTATAACCGTATATCCGTAATATTCCTAAAAGTAAAATAATTAAGAATAGAGTTACAAATGTGCCAAGCTAAAAAAATGTGTACATAGGAAAGTATACTCGAGAAACCGAAAGAAATTTACGTGACCCGTAACTTCTCACTTAATATGACTATATGTAACAAAAACCTCACCTTAGGCTCCAACTAGCGACATCTTGGGGCCAGAAAATTATTAAACTTTATTATCACAACATAAAAGCGAAAATTCGTTTTCAATTTCATCATTTCAAGATTCGAATCATCATTGAAAGATTTTTTTATATTACATTATGAATAATAATATTGTATTTTTGTTATAAAAAGATTGTCATTTTTATATTTATTATTTTATTATTTAAAAAGACACAAAAGGAATTTGAAATCACACGAACTGCTCAAATAAAAGTATTAATTAGTCATTTTATTATTATTCAATTTAGTCCTGTCTATTTGGGTACTAATATAAATAATAATAATTTCCTCCAGACCGAATTTTGCTCACGGTGGCCGACGGAGACCAGTCATCTGCACAGGACGGGATGAAAGTGCACGAGTATGCGATAGCTCAGGTACACTCTCTACTCCCTCACTCTCTTTCCATTCGATGAGACGGTCGCCTGACACGACGGGAGAGGTTTTAGGCACAGGATCAATGGATTTTTATATTATTATAAAATAAGTAACATTTTATATTAAAATTCGAACGTTTGTGTATTATATATATTTTCCAAACTTTGCACAAAAAGCATGACTAATTCTAAGTTAGCCTAAGTTATTAATAATTTAGAAGCGACAGTAGCCTAATGGCAGGGTGCGGACCGCGAACTCAAAAAGGTCATGGGTTCGAATCCGCCATTCGACTATTGGCGTGAACCACTCGCAACACAAGCAATTTAGGCTTACCACGGGTGGTTAAGGAGAATATTAGTAATGTTTATAGCATTGTTAATATTCTTTGTAAAAAAAAATTAAGTGAGGTGAATGAGTGTGAATTTAACTATTTTTGCGGCAGTTCAACTCTTATAGGGTTTATATTCAGTTAAACCAATAAAGTTGGTCTCACTAGTTTACCGATTTAAAGAATTGGTTGAACTGGTGCGAACGGAAACCTTTTTTTAAAGTTAGTTGTCGGTGTCCATCCTGCCATAGTCAGTTGCCAAAAAGCGAACTTTTAGCTCGTATTCCATGCTAATGTAAAAGACATAACTTACTATTTTAATAGCATAAATATTCCAAATACTTACTAATAACAGCTGCACCGAATGTTACTATGTTTATAATATCCTTTAGGGCTATGATATAGAAATTATTGAAGATGTCAATTCCAGTTAGGACAAGGCATAGAAGAAATATCATCACGAAACTGACAAGCCCATACTTGTAGTAAATTCTCAAAAGTTGATGGTTTTTCTGAAAGTAAAAAAAGTTATGGAAGTTAAAAAACACGAATTAAAATAATATTTTAGATTAAATTTTAAAAAGAATTACTAGCAACGTTATTTTTAACATTAATAATATATTTTTTAACTACCCCTGGTAAACTTAAAATGCTTGTGTTAGGAATGGTTCACGACAGTAGTCTGATGGCGGATTCAAACCCACGACCTTTTGAGTTCGCGGTTTCCAACCTGCTAGGCTACTGTCGCTTGACAAATGTCATTTTTTTGCTAAAAAATATTTTATGATTTTCTCCTGTATCGTGGAGGCAGTTTATATACATTAATTTCACGAGAATAAACATCAAGGCCCGGAACAAGTAGTTGTAGGCTACACAAATACTGTTACTAGTTCCATGCGGGATTCGAACTCGCCGCTCTCAGTGTCGCAACTCATTGCTAAGTACACACACACACACACACACATATATATATATATATATACATATATATATATATATATATATATATATACTGTATACATAGCATTCTACATTGTAAGTGAATCCACTACCCCTTTTTAATTCCGCGCGTGTGGTAGACGGTGACAGAGAAAAATTAAATAGAAGTTGTAGAGCTGTATTGTCCAGATACCAAATGAAAATAATAAAAATACTGGAAAATACCCCGGCTATGAGGCAATATATGGGGGAGGCCTATATTCCTTGTGGTAGGCTTTGATTTTTAATCGATGATACATGTAGGTGTCTATGGCTCACAGCATCTACTTACAAATAGGCGCAATGTATGCTCATTTTTCACTTTTAATTCAGTAGAAAAATAAAACGGTTTTGTGTTAAAAACATCTACTTTTAAGTTAAAAAAATCGACGCAAGCTAAAACGTTCAATGAATATTATGACTTGTTTCAGTTTTATTAATTTTTTAACAATGTTTATATCCTGAAAGTCAATTTTAAATAGTTTGTAGATGCTCATTCACTGGCAGGAAACTTAGTCGATCAATATACTTCGAAACTACTTTTACGGATTTTATCGCGTTTAATTTCAATTTTAATAATTTTTATTTTTAATTCCCGACGTTTAGTAGTTTTAATCAATGTGTAGTGTTCGCGTAAATATAAGAAATTATTATACTTCGAGTAATTTAGGAAACGAGTAGTAGATTTATTTACAGGTTTGAAGATTGGAGTTTTGTTGGAATGGTTTTGAGTGGTGCGGGTTGTGATTGAGGTTGGTGGTGTAGAGCTAAGCTGCAACTTATGACCACGCTCTCACAGAATACCAGCGTAAAATAGCAGCTTAACGTTACCGTGTTTCATATGGTGTGTGTAAAGAATCTGAGACCCTTTTTACTGGAAACGAGGCATTCCATTTTAGTCTTCACGGGTGACAACATATCTGCATTATGATTCGTAATCGAACAAAGATTTAGATGTCTATGGGCCACAGCAAGAACTTACTATCAGGTGGAATGTGTGCTCGTTTATCATCCTTATCTTTAAAAAAAAGATATTTAGTCAGCTTAGTGGCTGTAAGAAATTAGCGTACTATCGTTATCGACTGTTTGATGGTTGTCAATAGCTTACAAAACTCCAAAATGTACCAACATTCCGTGACGAGTTTTATAACAGGTGGATATTATTACTTGACACTGGCATAAGTACAACCGTACGAATCAATAAACAACGGAAGAGGGTGAAAACCAGCACACAGCCAGTCGAGTCTACCTACTACTACTTTTGAAATGACTTTGATACCACGAGATATAACAAAATCTTAAAATTGAATAGTTTGGGTATTTGGCAAACACTGTATCTATTTATTATATTCTCATAAAGTAAGATATTTTTTATAATCACCATCCGTCATGCGTACAGCAGAGGAGTGGAATAAGGTGAATGCCTCTGTTTTTCCATCTTGTCATTCATGTAATTGTCAAAAGAAAGAGTGAAGGCTCTTGTTAAATCAGTGCGCTCTGCGATTTACCATATTCGGCTGCACCACCAAAAAATTTTGTTTTCCTCAAAATCGATGACGGATATGGTATGGTACGTAGTTTAGAATTGTTGTTCCTAAGCGCTACCTACTGAAGTAATTTATACATTTAAAAAAGCAACAAACGAGCTTTCACTCAATAAGAAGAGGTTACATCAATAATTGCAAGCAACTTCAAAGAAAGAATATAAAAGTACATTGTCACCTCTGAAAAGTGAGATGGAGTACCTCACAGTATGTTATCGGCTCTCTATATCCTTCAGACTGAAATACAGCTGAGAATGAACCACTGCTTGGCAACAGAATAGGCAAGATGGTATTACCGTCAAGATACGTGGTAAAACTACGCTGCAGCTATATCGTGATTGTGGTACGAATAGTTGGGTTCGATCGGGGTTAGACCACGCCTTCACAGGATACCAACGTAAAACGTAAAATAGCAACTGAATGCTGCTGTGTTTCGTATGGCGAGTGTAGAGAAACGGAGACCACCGCAACCACCGAGAATAACGCATCTGGATTTTATTTCTTAATTGAGGATAAATGCAGATGAGGATTTCCTATATTTACGCGAACACTACACATTGAATAATACTACTTTTACGGATATTGTCTCCTTTAATTGTATTTATTTTCAATTCCCGACGTTTCGTCTGTCATTCCGTAACCGTGAGTGCTGGAAAGTACTAGAAACATCGGCAATTATAAATAAGTACAATTAAACGCGATAAAATCCGTAAAAGTAGTTTTATTCTAAATGTAAATGTCCATGGGCCACAACATTCATTTACGATCAGACTGTGAGATCGTCTGTAGCCTCATTCTAAAAAAAAATATCCTACCATATGGACTCTTAGGCCGAAAAAGGAGTTCTACCATCTAGTGAAAATAAATTTTAGATTAAAGAAAAGCATTTAAGTACACAGTTACCTTATGAGCCGCGACTATAAACACGATTGTGAATACAAAGTCAATTATAAAGACCGTATCAAACAATGACATAATGACGAGCTCGGTATTCAAATCTTTCTTTCGATGGTGAGGCACCAGGTACAGTTTTACACTAATTAGTACTCCAAGAAACAGGCAAAAACACTGAAATAAACAAGAGGTAAAATTAAAAAAAAATGTAAAACCGACTTCAGTATAATTACCTAAGTAATTTTTAAGTATGTTTAAATAAACTGAACCTCGCAGACATTGTTCTGCCAGTTAATACAGGTTGTGTTTAGCAAAGTTTTTAATTTAACTTATTAATTGCCGTGCTTGATCGAAAAATAAAGCAAATGAAATCAAAAAAATATATTTTTACATCTTTTTTTTTTAGTTTATAAATATAAATCTTTATTGAAAAATTCATATACGTGAGGGTAATATGGTCACCTGCTTGCAGTCCTATAAAACTAAAAACTAGAAGAAAGACGGAGACAAAAACACAAACACGTAAACTATAATATATATATATATATATATATATATATATATATATATATATATATATATATATATATATATATATATATATGTAAGGAAAAAAGAGCAAACAAGCTTTGGCAATAAATAGGAACACTTCGAAAAATCTAATTAAAAAAGTTAACTACACTATATGACTAAAAATTAATAATTAACTGTTATAATGGTGTTTACAATGCATCACCCTTTTGACCCTTTATTATTCGATTGACCGATGAAAAGCTATCGTATCCCAAATCCATCTATGCAAACAAGGCTGCAATTTTTGAGTTAATATAAGAAAGTGACAATATTAACCGGATAACCATATTACCCTCTCGTTCTATACCAATATTCATGGTGATCGATCAAATAATAATAGATTTCATAAATATAGTAGGGGAGCTCAAGCGAGGATTTACTCGAGCGCGGCAGAATAACATGAGGGGGGAAACCTTACCCCCCATTAAGTACTTCCAACAAACGTGAGCTCTTTATACGAGTATAGGGACGTGCGCTTAGGGCAGCATCAAATCACTCTCTGAGAGATTCTTCAAAGCCTCAGAGTCCCACTTAAATAGCCTCATTTGCGAGGCAGCTGCCTATGCAGCCCCTCGCACTCGCTATAGTGTGCGCAGGCCGAGAAAGTCTCTCTTGGAACCCCCCCCCCCCAACCAAGTTTTCAGCTGACCTAAACTGCCTCCTGGCGGCTCAGGCCGAGCCTACTAAACTCATCTCATAATTTTCCTTAGTTAGGCACACCTCTAAGAGGCTACTCGCCGCTTGCGCCCTTCTTTCAGCCAAAGAGGGTCGCGTCAGTTTACGGCTTAAAGATCTCTCGCTAGATCATTAAGCCAATCCCAAAAGGTGGTGTTTAGTAGGTAAAAGTCTCCACATAACCACGCAGCCGGCTGCATGGTATGCTATGAGAATTTACCACCTCCTCCCCGTTACCGGAGGGTTGCCCTTATATGGCTTCGGGCGCAAAAAAAGGCAGCCGATCAGAATGGTAAAAAAAACCGAAAGGTCGAAAAACACGAGTGCGTCAGATTAATGCAAGGTGAAGTAATTACATGCAGAAAAGAGTGTATTTCAATAATCTGACGATTTGCACTTGACCTAAGGAAATAGGAGAGTCACAAATTTGTAAAAAAAAACATCACCTTGATTTACTCGGGCGTGGTTAATTTTATTTTTATTTTCAAGTGAATCATTTAAGGATCACGAAATTAATATAATCTGCCGATTTCCACAAGCCGAAGTAGTTAAAATCCTCAATATAGTGTGGTGCGTGCAGCTGCTGAGAACTATGTATTTCCCACTTCGCGCCTCTCTACCTTTCTCACTCTTTCTCTATCTCTCGACGAAGATTAAAGTGACGATGAAGATTAAAATTTATTTTCATCGTTTTTTCTTCTTCATTATAATATTAGATCGATTAAAACAATAGACTTTTTTGTTTGAAATCCCGCATTGAAATAATTATCTTCACAGTACCGAAAAAAGACGCCTGTCAAAACCAAAGCTATTAATTTTAATACCCATTTAGAGGTCGATTTTTATTTCTCGTTTAAATAACACGGGATTTTTTTTTTGGAATATTCAACCTCAAAAACCTTTTTTGATGTGTGATAATTATTTTTGTAGGAAATCAAACGCTCTATACGACAAAAATGTCTTTTGACATTTTTTGATAAATCCATCTGTTCAAAATTTATTTGAGTTTGAAGTCAAATTTGAATTACACACACACACAAACACATGCGCGCGTGCACACATCTTCATATTTTTTCATAACTATCTTAGGAAAGGAATATTATGCTATTCTTGTAACTAAAGTATTGTATGTTTATTAAGAAAGAGCGAGTCTTTCCTGTCACAAGTATTTAAAAATACTTAAAAGGAGAACTCTAAATAGTATAATTATATATTGTAAATTTATAAATATGCTATGATTGTAAATTTATTGTTACAGAATAAATATTTTTGAAATTTTGATATTTATAGTAAATTTTGAGATCTCTTTTCTGTTCCGAAGAAACTATCAGAAATTATCACAAAATGTCATATAGTAGGAACTTTTTTGTAGGTAATTTTATTTTTGACAAATTATCGTCAATAATGTTTTTTGAAATTCTGCATTGTTTACTAGTTAATTTCATTTTAATGTAAAGCTTTATTAAACCCTTCAGATTAAGGAAACTCCTCCACATAATTGTCAGATTACGGGTCAGCACGACAAGGACACCATACTGAACTGTCCGTTTATTAATCTGACGCGCTCGAGTATTTCAAGGTCACGATTTTTTTGGCATTTTCAAAAATTTGCTTAGAGTTTTGGTCACGCCAAAATCGTCTAGTCTTTTGAATAAGAGCTTCTTTATGGTGCACTTAACATAACTTCCGAATATCTGACGCGCTTGAATAATTTTTTTAATCCCATTTTCAACACCTTCGCACGGCCACTTCCACCATTCAGTCTGTCAGATTAATATTCCTCCGTTCTCAAAAATACGTGGGATATGTACACTCTAAACATCTCAATATGAATATTTTGTGGGACTGTTTTTTTTTACATTTTTGAAAATCTATAGCCACTTATCTCTATACCTGTCTATTTTTATTACCATTTGGTGAAAAAAGAGAAAGAGATGTAAGCATTTAATAAATCGACTTCAGTTTTTATGAGAAAGGCCGTTAATAACGCGTACATTTTCTTCCCGACTGCCAACACTATTGGATTTTAAAAGTAAACACTCAAACTCACCATTTTAATATACGCCCAGACAAGCAGTCCGTACCTGAGAGGTACGCAAAAACAGCATCTTTTAAATTGTGGTAATTCTAAATACATTTTTATAAAATTCAAAACTTAATTTTACAAGCGATGAACCAATGAGAACAATAATTAAAGTAATCCTTTTCAAACAAATGCCGCTGCACTACTGTCATATTGATAACCCCTTCAATTCATAATATATAGGTACTAATGTTATGTTTGGTCTAAACAAATTGCTTGAAATGGTCATAGGTTGGAATATAGATAACTTCATACTACGTCGAATGATTGTGTTGGGAAATCTATGTTTTCTCATGTTATCGGATGTAAACAATCATCATTAATGATGTGGGTTTTCCATCATTAATGATAATTGTTTACAACCGACAACATGAAAAAATATAGTGCTTACCAACACAATCATTTGACGTTGTATGGAGTTATTTATACTCAAACCTTAAATAACGTTATCTACGTATGTCATCACTCCGCTTTCGCCACGTTTTGAAAATGTCGTTTCATCCACTTGGGTCCATAATCTTCCTCCACAGGTAACTCGGGATACTATCCATACCATCTGGATGATTGGCGGTCCACCACTGTGTGATTTATAAGATGTTTTCTTCCTCACACAACTTCCACCGGCGATTTTTCCGGACCGATACAACTTAGAGAACTTCAAGAAAAGAGCCTACTCTTTTTCATGGGCAAATTAATTTGTTTATGGGCGGTGGTGTCACTTACAATCAGGTGAACAATATGCTCGTTTGCTCTTATTTGAAAAAGGTCGATCTATGTATATGTTTTTCTCTTCTTCGATCCACCGGTGGATTCAAGGATAATTCAATCTTATATTACAACCAATAAAGCCCATTAACCAGGTAATGGTTATTTGAGAATATCCACAACCCCATATCGTCTCGTGAACGTCATAAGAGGCAACAAAAGAAAGAAAATCAGGATATTTTTTTATAAAATAAAGGTAACAAACGAGCACACAGTCCACCTGATGGTAAGTGGATGCTGCGGCCCATAGACATATATTCTCGATTAAGAATCAAAACGTAGATGGTTGTCACACCTGACAACTACGATGGAATACCTCGTTTCCAGTAAAAAAGGGTCTCCGGATCTCAACACTCACTATACGAAACACAAAAGTATTAAGCTGCTATTTTACGCTGGTATTCTTAGATATAAATTTATATGGTCCCTAATGCAATCAAGAACATAATAAACTGCTGTTGCCGGACCGACTGTCAACCCTAGCAATTATGGCAACATCTCTACCTAATCAAGGCTATCTATGAAAGAGGCATATCTCCAGCAGTGGTTTTTTGTTTTTATTTTCGGACAGTCACAGTCATTAATAAAAATTTTACATAAACGTAATCAAGTTAACATAAAAAATTTGTTTGTTTGTATTTTGTGCACTGCTATACCATTCATCAGAGTGCAGTAAAACTTTGTCAACATATTGTTTGAATTTCTGCGAAAGTTATAGGCATAGTTGGACCCGGTAGGTGGCGCTGTTCTAGAATTCATACGTGGTAGAGCCATGCCGCAGCCATATTAGTAGTATAGTTGTAGCACGAATGGGTGGGCTCAACCTGGGAAAGACCACGCTCTTACGAAATACCAGTGTAAAATAGTAGCTTAATGCTGCTGTGTTTCGTACGGTGAGTGTAGAGAACCGGAGACACTTTTTAAAGTAAACGAGGCATTTCATTTTAGTCTTAAAGGGTGGCAACGCATCTGCATTTTGATTTGTAATCGACGATAGATGTAGATGTTTATGGGCCACAGCAACCACTTAAACTTCCAGCAGTTGCACCCTTGCGCCGAACACAAGCAGTCTGTGATTCCGCAATTTTAAGTATCTTGTTTCGGAAAACAAAGGAATATTTCGAGTTATTGTATAGCACATGATTAAAAAGAGGTCTCAAACATGTAAAATAAAATAAAAACAGTTTATTTCTTCGTTCTTTCTTTATTTTTACTTAATAGAACAAAGGTCTATAAAAACTCAGAATTTTTGTCTCTGGGTGAAAATCACCGTTATGAATCAACAAAAACAAATGAAATTTTCTTTTTTAGTCACTGACCTCTATATATACAAGTACGCTGGACTGGCTATACCATACAAAATGACTGTGGCAATTTGAAGCGCCGCTAAAGGATGTTTTTTTGTTTTTTTTTTTTTTGTTGTTATATAAATACTTTCTTCGCTTGAAAAATAAAATTGACATGCCATTGAGTTTATATGTACACGCACTAGAGGCGACACTGCATTCAGCTACTCTGTTCCACTCAACTGCGGTGCATACACCGCACTTTAATCGGTCACTCGCTAGGCGCTTGTAGAGTTGACAAGTGTTGTGTTGATTTAAAAAAAAAATCTCTTGATAAAAATATGCCGTCGTGGATAGATATTGCACAAGTAATTCAAGAAATGTCAGTAAAAACCAAGGAATTACTTTTCGTAGGTTAATAAGATACTTAATCAATAAAAAAGTATTATAGATGTATAATAAAACAAATTATTCCTAAGACGCCATTTCGTGTCATGGATTATAGATTATGAAATTAATATGTTCAGATTTTTTGCGACATTTCTGTGGGTACTTAAGTACTTAGGACGAATATATTATTATACACATTTTTTTTTGTAGAAACTTAAATAAGTTATTATAATTAGGCTAAATTTTTCACATTTAAATCTGCTTATTATTCCGTAATTTTATTTTTAGGTTTTGACTTCAAGGTCAAAGTGTAATATATTCGTCCATTTTTAACTCTCGCGTGCCCAGCATTTATGAACGACTCTTATTCTAATGTAAATATATATTGAAATAATACTAGTTTTTACGGAATTTTTCGCGTATATTTAACTTTTTAAATACCCGACGTTTCGAACGCTTTACAGCACCCATGGTAAAGCGTTCGAAACGTCGGGTATTTAAAAATTTAAATATACGCGATAAATTCCGTAAAAAGTAGTATTATTTCAATGTGTAGTGTTCGCGTAAATATAAGAAATCATTATGTAAATATATATATTTGTAATTTAAATGTTATGTTAATAAGTTTTGTTATACATATATTTAGTATGTTTTTATATTTGACATATATAAGGTATATAAAATATTTAGATAAAAATAACATTAAAATGTAATTGTGATATTATAATATTATATCATATTATATATTAGGATATTATATTAAATAAGCAAATATAATATACAAAATAAATGACAAAATTTTAATATTGTTTTCTATATAATTTACCTATTTAACAATACAATCTACTATTTTACCTACTGATCATTCTACCTATGTTTATTCTATGATAAAAAAACCAACCGCGCGAACACAGAGTAGCGCACATTTTTTGTTTGAGATAGCTGTTCTAGTACGTAAGTACATATTACTTCAATGTAATATGCCAAAGTATGTTGTCTTATGCATATTGTCATATTTAATAAGTCTGTATTTTGAACTTTTAAACTAAAAAACAAAAGTATTTTATGTTGTTTCATTGTGTATAATGTTAGTTACATAATAAGAATTATTTTTATTAATAATGAGAGGGTGCATAATCTGTAAAACTCGTTACCAAAAGGGAAGTGGTATAACATTTCACAAGTAAGTGAATTTGCAGTAAATATTAAACAAATTAAAACTATTTGATAATATAAGTACTTAGAAATTTGTTACTAATCTTAATATCATATATACCAACATATTTGGCTGTATATTACTGAGTTTTGATAAACAATAAAATTCAATAGGGTTGTCGAGTTCCTTGTCTATAATACTTATCGATGTTCTTTCCTAATTCTCCAACAACAGATGATTATCAAATGTTTATTAACAGGTTTCCAACTGAACCTAGACTAAAATTATGGCTTAAAATTATAAATATTGTGAATTGGTGTCCGAAACAAAATGATCATATTTGTTCCAGACATTTCACAGACGACTGTTTTATTAGACATGAGAAATGCACCACTTTGAAAAAGTGCAGTGTACCGACAATATTTTCTGGTAGTACCAGTACCAAGCACTGCCAACTACCAAGTACTAAGTATTAGATTATTGTTTCGAATGTGTTTTTTTATTTCTTCTTTCCTCATTTTCCACCAAACTTAAGGGCTATAGCCAAGTATCGAAAGGTCGCCTGATGTCGAGCCACGTTGGATGTGTGTTAGTAGGCTGCGGCTAGAGGAGATTCCTCTTCCTGTACCGCTATAGTCGAGTTGGAGTCGTAAGGGAAGAGGAGTGTTGGTATGGCGATTGGCGATGCGCCACTCGACTGTCTTTCGCGACTTTTTGAGGCTGCATCACTTGATGTTTCCAAGTGCTCGTTTTTTCCTGGTTCCATTCACATATCGGGCTCGATAATTGATAATTTCAGTTTTATTTAATATTGTAATTTTAATTTTGAAAATGTCGTTGTAATTAACTGATAACTATGTAATTCAAAGTTTATATTTTTTATATTATCTTGCTAGCTTGGGCATTGCTGCCGCAGAAGAAAAGAAGTAATTTTGGTAATATCGTTAAAAATGTGGAACAGTTACTTTGTATTATTAGGAATGATAATACAATCATTGAAATAGAATGATATATAAGCTTCTATAACTTTCAAATCAGTATAATACTGACTATTTATTTGAAAGTTATATTAATAAAGTTATATATACTACACGCCACCTAGTGTCAGTTAATTGTACCATGCGTATAACCTTCGCACAAGTGCAACCAATAAGTTGACTAAGTTTTACCGCAATCTGATGAACGGTATGGCATCGTAGAAAGTACGAACAAACATACATTTTTATATAGTAGAAAATATTTTACTTTCTGTAGACAGACCTGTAGTTGATTAGAATAGGCGTTATTATAGCAGCTGATTTTTTTTATAATACTAAAATAAATGAACGGTTGACAATAAATTATTCTAGAAATTATGTTTTTATTTTTATTTG